GTATGTATATATGTATCATCAGCCCTGAGATAACTTATTGGTCTTTTCAGACTCCATCTTATATGATCACTTAAAGTTTAGCCTATATCAAATTAATTTTCCAATGTGCCACTATCCAGCATTAGATGTATTAATAATACAATTGTAGTATAATTGATGAAGGTATTCCTCAGCTTTCTGCAAACCTACTTTGTGCACATTTGCAGTACAGTTTCTTTGAAGAGAAGAGAAACTCCACCTGCACTTCCCAAACTGTTCTTAAAGATATTGTTTAACTGAGATTTGGAACTGATTTGTCTTAATTGTCTTAATTGAGGGGGAAGGGTGGACTGAAGGAAATTAAGGAAGAAATGGTTTAGCAGGAAATGTTTGATTTGTATTCCTTTCAAGTGAGTGAATGTTGAAAAGAAATGTTAAAACTGGATTTTTTTTAAAACAAGGTAAAATAATGAATATAATAGAAGAATATAATTTGTATTTCTCAGTGTGATAATCCCAAACAAAGAGATTTTTCACATTTGGTTTTGAAAGAACTTTAGTATTTATTTAATATCAGTCATTCAGGTGTGATTTTCATCTAATATTAGCATTTCTTTCTTGATAAATTTCAATTAGGAGATACTTTCATAGTTTTATCTAACTCTAATGACACAAAGGATGATTTGAAATCTTGGAATTCAATCTAAAACACTTGTCTGAGAAACCAGACAATTCAATGGCATCCTTTCGCAGCTGTGCTCTTGTTGAAAGCATCAATTCCTAGATTTTCCCCCTTCTTTTTGGGCTTTGAGTCTGACTGGGAAGTGAATTTATTCTTGTATGTGAAAGAAATGCTTCTTCTATTGATTGACCTCTAAGTAAGGTTACCAAAATAAAGAAGAAATACAAATGGACAACAAATGCTTCAATAAGAAATGACCAGCTTCTGTGATAAAACACCAACCAAGCTGGTTGAATACTGACTGGTTGATTACCTCAGCTTTACAATTTCTTTCAACTTAAAGAATCTGCCATTTGATTCAGTGAAGCAATACTCCCATAACATTGAACCTATCCCTGTATATCTCACAGAGGGCACCTATAATAACTGGAAATGCTGTCAGCTAGAATTTTCTTTCTTAATTGCCTCCAGATGGACAGCTCCTGGGTTATAGATGTAGCCCCATAGAAGAATGGTTCACTTATGGGAGTTCTTCAGGCTTTGCAGAAGGAAAAAAATAGTATCAGACATCTACAAAGATGAGAAGTCAGCATACTCCTTATGCCTTGATGTCACTTGCAGACACATGCTCTGCTGCTCTCCTTCTTTGAAGTTCATACTATGTGATAATGTCTTGCCTCTGTCTTTGCTTTCATCTTCATCTCCACTTTGCTTTTATCATCAATGACTTGATTAAGTGTTCTCCTTCCTAGTTCTTGCCGGTATTCTAGATCAGGAAGTTCTTAACCTTCTTTTGTGTCCTGAAAGGCACTCTGGTGAAGCCTGTGGGCTCCCACATCAAAATAATGTTTTAAAATCAATCAATAAAATACAAAGGACTACAAAAGAAATCAATTATATTGAAATTGTTACAAATTGTTTAAAAAAGTGTTCATGTACCCCAGCTTAAGAACCCCTATTCTAGATCAGTGCAATGTTAAGAATCTCAGTGTTAAAAAAAAATCTAAGAGATCATCAAGTATACCCTTTATATAAGGCTTGAATTTTTTTTTCAAAATTCCCTAAAAGTGATCATCCAGTCTGTATTTAAATATCTGCAATGAGGGAAAACTCACTATCTCCTTTGGTAGCTGAATTATACAGCTTTTTAAGAGTTTATTTTTTCCTCCTTTAGCTCTAGTGGAAATCTCTCTATATATAACTTTTTCCATTTCTTCTTAGTCTTGCCTTTAGGGACCAAACAGAACAAGTCTTATCCATCTTCCACACATCAGCCTTTTAGATATTTGAAGGCAGTTATCATATCCCTTTTAAGTTATCTCTTCCCAGGCTAACCATCCCAATTTCTTTCACTGGAGCCTATTATGGTAGGGTCTCCAGTCCTCTCACCATCCTGATCATTCTATTTGTACTCCAGTTTGTCAATGGCCATCCTAAAATGTGATAACCAGAACTGCTCTTTCTTCTTCGATCCAGACGTAGTATGACTAAAGCAGAGAATAAGGAGATTCTTAGCAATTTTGTTCTGGATATTGTTTCTCTCATACAACCCAAGCTAACATATGGGGGAATATAGGCAAAGACCACATAGGGAGTGAAGGAATGTATAGCTTGTGATTTGTTCTAGTGAAGGGATTAAGATCATGGGTCCATTGAATTATTGATGTATAAGCACAAAATTCGACATTCTTAGAAAAAAACTAAATTGTACAAGGAATCTGATGTTTTTATCTGTTTCATAGTCCAACTTTGATAACTTTAGCCAAAGAGTTAATCACTTAGTGATTAACCTGCTGATAATAAGATTTTCTTTATTTAGGTAAGCTGGTCCAAGGACAGTGAATAGTTTTTCATTGGGATTGTAATCTCAGTCTTTGTGGTTTGATAGACCTTTCATAGATTGTATTATGTGTTAGTAGCCTTTAATTGATCCAAGGATCAATTCTACACCTTGACAAGGTAGACTTTGTGAAGGATTTTATACATATGTCTGTTAAATGTCACCTTATTGGATTTTGCCCAATTTTTTTAGCTTCTCAATACAGTTTAGAAGCTTAACTTTCTCATCCATTGCATTAGTTATTCCTCTGAATTTTGTGTCATCTGTGCATTTTAATAGCATGGTTTCTTTTGCCTTCCAAATTTTGAAATAAAAAATGTTGGATTGGATGGTGACAAGTAGCATACCATTGGTGACTTCCACTCATTTTGATATTAGCCCAATTCTCAGAACATTATAGTTAGAGTTGGCAGTTATGTGGTACAGTGGATAGACTGCTGGGTCTGGAGTTAGGAAGACCCAAGTTCAAATCTGGACTCATATGCTTAGTAACTGTGTGACTTTGAGCAAATCACTTTACTGTTTGCCTCTGTTTCTCAACTATGAAATGGAAATAATAATAGTAATTCCCATCCAGGGTTGTTATAAGGCTCAAATACAATAATATTTGTAAAGTACTTAGCACGGTACCTGGCACATAGTAGATACTTATAAATCCTAATTATTATTAATGTGGTTGTTATTAAACCACCTACTAATACATGCAATTTTGCTATTATTTAGCCTATATTTTGTGTATAAGAATAATGATCCAAATATAGGTTATATGTTTCCTCCCAAGTCTGTCTTATACAAAATATAAGTATGGTTTAAAATTGTCGAGATACACACGCGCGCACACACACACACACACACACACACACACACACACACACCCTTTCAAAGCATTTTATTTAAGGGCCACAGCTATGTTTAGTGGTAGCCTAAATTCAGAACAATGTAGTGTTTGACTTTGTCAAGTGTCTTGACAACATTTGGACAGACAATCCCTAGCATTCTTCTAGTTAAGCATTCTATTAATCCTATACATAAAAAAGATAAAAGATAATTTAAATGTGCCTTTGAGATGACAGGAAATAGGATAAAGGGCAATCAACATAATCCTTGAATAGTAGCTCAGGAGTTCATGGCTAAACATCAGGAAGGGAAGTTTGGTGGCCGTTGCCTTGTGATTGAGTTTAGGGCCCCGAACAAGCTATTCAATGATGTGATTCCTCGGCTGATTTATGCTAAGGCTACATCTTTATGAATGTAAGGAAATTCATTGCAAATGAATTTCAAAGCTGCAACTTCATCTGAAAATCCTGTATATCTATGATTGGTTAGTAAGCCAAGCAATAATGTTATTTACTGTGTACTTTACATTGTATTTTGTGCCATAATTTTTTTAATGTTTTCTTTTCTACTGGATATTAAGTGCACTGAGGATAGGGACTGTCTTATTTGTATTTGTATTTCTTTCAGGATATAGCAAGACACCTTGTATACATAGGAGTACTTAAAGAATGTATCCTTGAATGTTAAATTAATGCAAGCTCCTTTTTTTTGTCTAAGTGTTGAAAAAATTGTCAGAAATCATAAGAGAGCAATGTACATTAGAAATAGATCTAGATTGCAAGCCCATAGGACCTGGATTTGTGTCGTATCTATACCATTTATACCTGGGTTCATTAGACAAGCTTCTTTCTGTATGAGTTACCTCTCTGCCTGTTTCCTCACCAATAAAAATGCAGGGGTTGGGCTAAATCTCTCAGATGTCTTCTGGCTCTAGATCTTACACGATCCTAGACACAAAGATGAAATCACCACAATTCTGGCTTAGGGACATGTCAGGGATACAAGTAATGAATGTATATTAAAATGTGATGTATATATTGGAGCCATACAGAGAAATGGATATGAGAAATTCAAAGAAAGATTATCTCTTATTGGCAAAATTAAGAAGGCTTTATAGTAAGTAGCCTCTAAACTGTTATATACAGAATGGGAAGGGTTTCAACCAATCATGATAGGAGGAAGAACATTTTAGACATGAGCAATGATGTAGAGGTATAAGAATAGAGGGATTAAGAATGTTGAACTAAATGATTCTAAGGTTCCATCCATATATTGGTCACGCATCTTGTCTAGATGATCATTTGTATAACTATTTGCTAATGAACAAGATAGTCTAGTGTGGAATTCATTTAATTTTTAATTTTTAAAAAGTGATATCATTCATAATGAGGTATGAATTTATTGAGTAGTTACTGTAGACAAAGCTCTGTTCTAGCTGCTGGTACAAAATCTTAATAGAAATTTTCTTTACCTTTCATAAAGAAAAGAAAAGTATTAGGGAAGTTAACGGTTAAACACAACAGAAATTCTCACATTAGCTTGTGTCAGCAACAGTATTGTAATAGTTCAAAATGCCTAGAGGAAAAATAAAGGAAAATAAATGCAAACTAACTTTATTAATAATAATATCATTATTATTGTTATTTTCATTTTGACCTGTAGGAACGGCTCCTGATGAGTCTTTTGCCCAGAAATGTTGCCATGGAAATGAAGGAAGATTTTCTGAAGCCACCTGAGAGAATTTTTCACAAGATTTACATTCAAAGGCATGACAATGTCAGGTAGGATCAACCCTGCAAAAAAAGATAACATTTAATACGCTTATATGAATATGCGCTGAAAAGTACTGGGATGGAAACAGGAATGTTGAGAAGTGGGACGCTGCATTAGCTTAGCAGTTTAAAAGTCCTGTATTCCTCACATGAGAAGAGAGTCTATGATATCATGTAGAGAAAATTTTGAAAGATCCATGTGGGTAGGCCTTTTACTGACTATGAATCAGCAATACTCCACATTTCACGAATTTCCATGGCCAATACAATTATCATCTCATGGGCCAACTTTGTAATAATGAGCCTCTTTCCATAGTTAGGCTAGTCCTTGGATAAGAGTCATATGGTCTATTACAAGGCCTTTACTTGAAGGTTTTCTAACTTGATCAATCTAGCAGAGTAAACCAGAGTAAATCAGCCTTTAAGGAAATTGCAGCCTTTTAATTTTTGACAGGAGTACTTATCTTCTTTATGCAATATACAAAATAAATATGGACCAGTTAAACTGGTCCACTAGCTATTTCCTGAACTCAACATTCTGCCTTCCATTTTCTTGTACATTTACATAACATTCCTTCAAGTCTAAGGTCAGGTGCCATCTCCTACATCAAGCCTTCCCTGATACACCTCTCTTAGCTATCAGTCTCCTCTGTCTGTGTTAAAGTGATGGGCTTGTAGACAGGAAGATCTGAGTTCAAATCCTGCCTCAGACACGTATCAACATTGTGACCCTGGGCATATCACTTAACCTCTCTCAGACTCAATTGCCTCATCTACAAAATAGGGATAACAACGGCACCTATCTTGAAGAATTGCTAGGATCAAATAACATATGTTCAATGCAAAAGTACTATATAATTGCTAGCTAGTATTTATCTACAAACATGTGGTTTCTACCCAATTGAATATAAGGTCTCAGATGTCCAGGACTATTTTATTTTTCACTTTGTGTCCCCAGCCCCAAGCAGGTAATAGCACTTAACCAATAGAGTCATAGATGTAGAATTTACTGAGAACTTAGAGGTCATCTAGTCCCATTCCCCCATTTTTCGGATGAGCTAACTGAGGCCCGGGAAGTTGAAGAGACTTGCCCAAGGTCACCCAGATAGTATCAGAAGTGCGATCTAAACCCAGGGCCTCTGACTCCCAAGCCAGTGCTCTTTTCACTGTACCAAACTGCCTCTATTGGATAATTCAATTATACAAACATTTATTAAAGGCTACTGTGTAAAAGGCACAGAAACACCGTACAATAGAAAAGATAATTTAATTTGGAAACAGAAGATGAGTTTACCTTCTAGTCGTAGATATTTGGATATCATTTAGCCACTTTGGGCCTCAGTTTCCTCACATATAAAATGAGGGGATTGGACTACATCTCTAAAATGTATCTTAGCTCTAAGTGTAAAGAGGGGTGAGAGGTGATTCCTGCTTCAAAGAGCTTACAATAATAAAAGAAATAAGTGAAGGACACAAGTAACCAGTGTATATTAGAAAGGAATAAGTGCCTGGGAGAAATAGAGAAAAAGGGAGACACAAGATAGAACAGAAAGTCTCCACCTTGAGGAATGTGGGAAGGCTTCATGTAGGAGATGGTATCTGAACAATTTCTTGAAGAGTAATTAAGGATTTTAACAGGCAAAGAGGGGGAAGAACAGCATTTCCAGTATGAGTGGAGGCATGGGGGTGGGAGAGGATAGAGTGATTTTTGGAAAGGAGCAGAGTGACAAAGCTATTGGCTATTTGGAAGTTAGATAGTCTTAGAGCAGGGGTAGGGAACCTGTGGCCACATCTGGCCCTCTAGGTTCTCAAATGTGGTCCTTTGAATGAAACCAAAATGAAACAGAAACAACCCTCTGGGAAGAACAGGTAAGGGGTGATTTCTTGAGTCTGGGTACTCCCTCCAGTGAAGTAGCTCCAAATTCATGCCCTTATATTTTCGCAAATTCACCATAGAAACATATTATCTATTTTCTCTTCTATAAACTTGGGCAATTGGATTAGATGGTATCTAAAGTCCTTCACTGTCAAATTCTGTGATCCTATGACTATCCAGTAAGGAGCTGTTTCAGCAAAGTACTATTCTGAAAGACAATGCAGTTTCTGACTGTGCCTGACTTTCCCTGGGGGACTAAGTTAGATTCTGGGGAAATGTGGTAGGACTGATAAAATCCAGAGCAACGTTCCTGAAAGCTGCATCTGAGATTATACCTGCTTCAAAGCCAAAGACTCTATCTTGCTTTGGATTCCCATGTGATATCTACTATGGTGCTCTGTACAGAGGGGACATTCAATAAATGCTCATTAAATAGCCCCTTATCTGATGGATCTGTTGGCGTCAAAATATATCTCATCTCGCTTGTGGGACAAGCTCCGTCTGATTCTAGGACAGAGTGTGAAGAAAAGGATTAAAGGCCGGAGAGAACAAGGATGAAATGGGGCGCAGAAGGAACAGAAAGGTCCCTGGTTATTAGAAAGGTAAATAAGCTTTTAGTTAGGAGACCAAAAAGAGAAGAAAGACATATTTTTCATTTTCTCCCCTCCCAAGAATACCCTCTTCCCAATCTAGAGTCTTTAAACATCAGAGCTAAAAGGGGCTGCAGAGAACAACAAATTTTATGAATCTGAAATCTTAAGAGAGGAAAACACTTGCCCAAGGTGACACAGATAGCAGGTTAAGTGGCAAAGCCTGGTATCCTTCCTCCAAGTCCAGCTTTCTTTCTACTATACCATGCTACCTTCTATATCTCAACGGTAATATAATTCTCCTGGTCATGGAGACACAAAGTCATGGCATTTTTAAAAATTTAAACTTCTGCAAGGTGGGAAAATGTACCTCTTCCTCCCTTCATTGAAAAGATAGTCTCCCAGTTGGTCTCTGTGCCTCCACTATACTTCCACTATCCTGTGAGATTGTCTTTCTTTTAAGCATCACTTTCATTAGCCTTGTGTAGGGGAAAGAATGCCTCAGCTTTGCTGCTAGCCAAGCAGCACAATCTTAGAGAAGTCACTTGTATAATCTTGACCTCAGTTTTCCCCATCTGAAAATGAAAATGATCTATAATGGCTCCTGTTCTGAAATTTTGTCATGTCCTTCTGTTCACTGGATCAGAAGCTTTCAGTGGCTTTCTATTCCATATTGATCCAGTTTAAAGGCTACCACATGTTTTTCAAGATATTCACTCATGTTGTTTCTCTCACTTGGAATATCCTTTCCTTTCCTACTCTCCCTCTCATTCATTGGAATCCTATTCATTCTTCCAGCCCGCTCCCACCTCTCCATTGAATTCCTTTTTGTGTGATTTTCTACACAGAAGGAAATGAAATCCAGATGGGGAATAATGAGTCCTTATATGAAGTTTCCTCATGTATAAACTGAGAGAGTTGGGCCAAATGATCTGTAAAGACCTACATTCTATCATTAGAGCAGGAAATATTATATGATAAAGTGCTAATTTTGTAGTATAGACAGGAAGATTTTTTTTTTACCCTACAAAGTTAAGCAATGTAGAGGATAGTATGAGTGTCCCAGAAAATTTCGTGGACTACATAGATCATGAATTGGATTTTGGAGAAGGGTAGAATGTGAGAAGATGGCAGTTGAGAGTGGATAACAGGAAGAAACTTCATGAGCAAGAATCAGAAGAGGGAAAAATAAGCATGGTGAATGAGAGATACATTTTGTTGCATGTAGTCACTTCTCTTTGCAGAAGCCCTGATGTAAAATTTGACATACGTTTATAGTTCCATTCCAAAGCCTGATGGGTAACTCATTTAGAGTAGAAGCAGGCCTTGCTTATCATGCTGTGTATTTCTGGGAGCTGTGTTGTGAAGTGGATTGTGGTAAAGGAGATCACATTTTCCCAAATGGAAAATATGATAACTAGGAGTTGTCCAGGACTCATCTTCAAAAGAGTCATGGCTGTATCATAAAAAGTAAATATATAATAGCTATAAACCTCCATAGTCATTTAGAAATAGTAAAACTTTACCATAGTCATATAAAATGGCCACAAATGCACTGTACATATTGATCATAATGGGGGCCCTACTGTATGATAAAGTGCAGAAGAAGCCCATTATGCTGCATCTATAATCTATCATAAATCTGACCTAAGACATATATGTTAGCAACAATCAACCCTAAACATTTAGTAACCATAATTGACCTTGCCCAGAGCATCACGAAGATTCTGGTTTACTTGTTTATTGTTGCCTTCTTAGAGGTTGGAAAGGCTTTTGTGGTTTGATTTGGTTAGTTCAAATGAGTTTCTCATTACGCAATGAAATTGAGCACACATTTATTAAGTACCTTTTGTACACCAGATGCTGTGCCTGGCACTGAAAATATAAGGACGAAAACAAAACAGCTCCTATTTTAAAGGGACTTACACTCAAGCAGGGAAAGCAACATTTAAACAGAAAAGTACATTCAGAATACGTAGAAAAGAAATGTGAGGCACGTACATTCTATGTAGAGAATGCAACAGGTACACAAATACATAAATAGAAAGTATATGCAAAGGAATATAAACAAATTAAAATAAGAGAAGAGTACTAATGGGAAAAGGGGAATGGGAAAGGCTTGGCTAGGAAATGGCACACTTGAATTGTGCTTTGAAAGAAAGGTGACATATGACAAGGGGGAGGATGGAAATACCACAAGAGGAGGAAGGAATGCATTCCAGATATGGAGGGCCGCTTGTATATAATTATGGCATGGGAGATGTATGGGAGAAGTGAAAGCAAATTTCTGGAAAGTCAATTAGTCAGTTAATAAGCATTTATTAAGATCCTACAATGATGTAGGCACCGAGATAATTTAGAGTTCATATGTTATTTTTCCTTTCAGCAATTTCTCTGTAATGATGCATTATTGTTTATTTTTTAAATTTTTAAAAATTTATTTTTAGCATTTAAAGAAAGTTTTGAATTCCAGATTTGCTCTCCAGCCTGTCCTCTACCCACTGAGAAGACAAGCAATATGATACCCATCATACATGTGAAAT